TGAAATCCTCTCACAGAGCCTGAAACCTGCTTTGCTGTCATGTTTGGGCCTGTGTTCCTCTGCTTTAACACAAACCTCACCACAGCAGCTGTGTGGGTCGTCTCTGTAGCAGCCAGATTAGCTTCTGATACATGAACATCATCACAGCTCCTAACTTCACCTTTATTAGCTTTGACATTCATGTCTTTCTTTTCTCTGTCTGTTTCCACACAAGCTCAAAGTCTCTGCAGCCTGTTTTTATCTGCTATCATCAGATCTCCAACAGCCTCATTCACATCCATCACACACTCTACAGCCTCACCAGTACTGACTTCATCTTCACTGACTGATGGAGCACAACATGAACCTGTGGAGGCTGAAAAGCTGTCCTGACAAACATCTCCCCATCACCACTGCACTTCTGTCAGCCTTTAAATGAACCCTGCTCAAGTCTGTAACTTCTATTTGGAGCCAAGAGGAAAACTGTTGTTCAGTCGTTTGGAAAGACACAACATTTCTGAAAGCACTCAAAGACATTTCTCTTCAGACACATCCTGAACATTTAGGAACTAAAGAACGTTTCAAATATCAAAGATCAGAAATATAGAAAAACAACAACAGCTGCAGTCAGTGAACTCACCTCAGAGTCTCCAGTCGACAGTTTGGACTCTCCAGTCCAGCACACAGAAGCTTCACTGCTGAATCCTGCAGCTCGTTGTTACTCATGTCCAGCTCTGTCAGATGGGAGGGGATGGACTTCAGGGCCGAGGCCACAACTTCACAATGAGTCCCTGAGAGTCCACAGTCAGTCAGTCTGTGATCATAGAAAATATAAAATGTGTTATTATAAAAGCAGAAAGTCTGCATTATAAACACAGACTGAATGTATATGAAGACAAAACAAAGTGAGGTCATAATCTGATGAACATCTGCTCTTCACATCTGTGCTTCAGCTCCTCTTACTGTGTTTGACATGACACAACGATTGAGTCTCTCTCAGACCTGCAGACTTTTAATGAGAATCTTTGTTTGGCTTTAATCTGCAGATGAAGGAGGAAGATGGCGTCACATTTAGGCTTCCATAATGTCCACAGTCTGTCAGTGAGATCTGATCCAGAGTCAGAGTGAAGACACACATGTGGACTGTTTCCTGTCTTGAATCTAGAACATTTTGAATGAGCTCAGCTCAGTGAAGAGTTCCAGCTGGAAAGACGATCTCTGTTTGCTACCTGCTGCTGTCAGGTACGACTGTTCACGTCCACACTCAGGAAAAACCTGCTGACTGTCACCAAACGGAGCAGAAATGTCATCACTGGACAATAATGATGAATGAACTCAGAGCTGCTGATATCACATCTGATTTCAGGGGAACTAAACACACAAATGATTGGCTCGTTTTAGCTTTCTGAGCCATTAGTCTGCAGGTTTATCACTAGTTGGCAGAAACAGACTTGTATTAATGTTCAGCGCTTCAGTGTTTATGACTCCAGATCCAGGTGACAGCAAGTCAAAATGATGTTACCTGTCTGTGTCCAGCAGCAGCCTTTGAATATTGTTATAAACTCACGTGGATCAGTTTGTCTTTGATTGGTTTGTAAAGTTCAAATTCATTTATATTCATCAACTCTAAATGAAAAATGTTTTTCTTCTTCTATGTTTATTATTAGAGTAACAAATTCTTATAGTTTCCTGTTGTTGAGAATTCCAGTGTAAAACCACTCGACCTGTGCATCACTGCACACTGTGAAAGTATTACTGCAGTTTAATCTATAATCCTAATCAGTGTGTTTACTGGACTGTAGTCAGACCTCCGTTATACCAAAGGAAACACTGAACGTCTTCAAAGTCACAATAAATTTATAATAAATGCTAATAAATACTGGAGTGTTAGAAAAGATGCTTCCAGCGTGTTTGTCTTTGATAGGGTTTATTCTGTTCGTCTATTGTCTGACCACTTGGGGGCGCTTTTGTCTCTTTTGCTCTGAGCCTTGGGTTTATTCAAACTGATTTTAATAAACTATTTTCTGCAAGTTGAAGCTTCATCTCCATCTCCAGTGGTTGTTGCATATTTTATGACTATATTAGTAACAGTCAGAGAGTTTAGAGTAAATTAGATCTTCACGTTTGATTCTTGACACAACATAAATGGTGAGCCAGTGTCAGAGGAAGTGACAGCATCCACCGAGGACCAGGGGGAGTGGGAGGACTGGGGGACCAGGCCAACAAAAAGGTGATCACTGATACAGGTCAGCAAACATTTGCTCATTTGGTGTCTTAGAGCAGACTCCGCCCAGCTTTGTCGTCCATGGTTGCTCTTTCAAAGGAATCTAGTTACATATTATTTTACTTAATGATCTACTGACACCACTGACTATGCAGGACAACCCCACGTCTGGAGCCAGTGCACATGTGCAGTTCAATTCCTGGGCAGGTTCTGAAGATGGCCGAGCTGTCGAGGACAAAGTTACTAATGTGACGCTAATGTGGTTAATCAAGATCTTCATAACTATGTGGAGCACAGTGTGCTTTCACCGTGGAGAAATCACACTGAAGAACTCGGCACACATTTTGGGGGCCTTTCTGTTTGTTGCTACAATCTGCAAATTTCATTAAAAGTTTAATAAACTATCATCTGGTCTTTATTTTTAGTTAGCACATACCTTAAAAACTCTAAGCTGTAAGCTAATGATAGTTACATAACAGCAGATGCATGCTGGTGCAATAAGCTGTATGTTTTATTTTTGATCTGATTAGTCAAATAATCACAAAAATAATTGTTTGTGGCAGCCCTAGTGTGACCTCAAATAAGAAATGATTGCAGTTTATGACTGAGTAACTAAACTATCACCAACTGATAATATTAATGATCACATCTGGACTCACCGAGCCTTTCTGAAGTTCCTCACAGCTGGAATCAGTCTCAGTCGTCCCTCCTTTGTTGTGTTGTACTTCTTCAGGTCCAACTCATCCAGAACCTCCTCTGACATCTGCAGCATGAAGGCCAGAGCTGAGCAGTGGATCTCAGAGAGTTTCTTTGATTTGTTCTCTGACTTCAGGAACTCTTGGATCTCCTGAGATAATAAGATGTCGTTCATCTCCATCAGACAGTGGAAGATGTTGATGCTTCTGTCAGGAGAGGATTTTGTCTTCCTTTCTTTAAGATTCTTGATGACTCTCTGGATGGTTTCTGGACTGTTCTCTGTCTGACCCAGCAGACCTCCTAAGAGTCTCTGGTTGGACTCCAGACAGAGGCCATGAAGGAAGCGAACAAACAGGTCCAGACGACCATTTTTACTCCTGAAGGATTTTGTTAGTGTTTCCGTCAAAAAATTGTCCAGAGAGGACTCTCTGTATTTTTTTCCCAGGAAGTCCTTCAGCACCTCTGACTTCCTGTTGGTGAAACAGTGGAACATGTAGACTGCAGCCAGAAACTCCTGGATGCTCAGATGAACAAAGCAGTAGACTGGTTTCTGGAAGATCTCACACTCTCTTTTGAAGATCTCTGTACAAACTCCTGAGTACACCGAGGCCTCTGTCACATCCAGACCACACTGCTCCAGGTCTTCTTGGTAGAACATGATGTTTCCTTTCTCCAGGTGTTCAAACGCCAGCCTCCCCAGCTTCAGAAGAACTTCCCTGTCAGCCTCCGTCAGCTCCTGTGGACTCGTCTCCTGTCCCTCGTGGTACTTGTTCTTCTTCCTCTTTGTCTGAACCAGCAGGAAGTGTGAGTACATGTCAGTCAGGGTCTTGGGCAGCTCTCCTCTCTGCTCTGTAGTCAACATGTGCTCCAGAACTGTAGCAGTGATCCAGCAGAAGACTGGGATACTACACATGATGTGGAGGCTCCTGGATGTCTTCATGTGGGAGATGATTCTGCTGGACAGCTCTTCATCACTGAATCTCCTCCTGAAGTACTCCTCCTTCTGGGCGTCAGTGAAGCCTCGTACTTCTGTTAGCCTGTCAACACATGTAGGAGGGATCTGATTGGCTGCTGCAGGTCGGGAAGTTATCCAGACGAGAGCCGAGGGAAGCAGATTCCCCTGGATGAGGTTTGTCAGCAGCTGGCTGACTGATGACTTCTGTGTGACATCAGACAGCAGCTTCCTGTTGGTGAAATCCAATGAAAGTCTGCTTTCATCCAGGCCATCAAAGATGAACAAAAGCTGAGAGACAGCCAGCTTCTCTGCTGTGACCTTCTGTAGTGTTGGATGGAAAACATGGAGCAGCTCCAGAAGACTGTACTGCTCCTCTCTGATCAGGTTCAGCTCCCTGAATGAAAGCAGAACCACCACACTGACATGTTGGTTCTCCAAGCCCTCTGCCCAGTCCAGAGTGAACTTCTGCACTGAGAAGGTTTTTCCAACACCAGCCACGCCGTTGGTCAGAACCACTCTGATGGGTCTCTGTTGGTCAGGTAAGGCTTTAAAGATGTCCTGGCACCTGATTGGAGTGTCATGGAGGGCGTCCATCTTGGAAGCTGTCTCCAGCTGCCTCACCTCATGTTGGCTATGAACCTCTTCACTCTGTCCCTCTGTGATGTAGAGCTCAGTGTAGATCCTGTTGAGGAGGGTTCTACTTCCTGTTTCATCACTTCCTTCAGTCACACGTTCACATCTCCTCCTCAGACTGATCTTATGTTCATCTAAAACCTCCTGCAGACCAACATCTGCTGAAAGAAAGAAAAACAGAAAGAAAACTCTTCAATGTCTGAACAACAACAAGAAGTCCAGTTTTCAGAAATGAGTCCATCAGCAGACAGATGTTCAGTCTTACTTTGTACACAGCTGCTCTGACTGGCTGTCTGCAGTCCAGCTCTGCTTCTGGATCTTTCTCCACACTGGGGACAGGACCAGTCTCCTGATGAAGCAGACTGGTCCCAGTATGAGGAGATGCACTGTCTGCAGAACCAGTGTCCACAGCTGGTAGAGACTGGATCCTTCAGGACGTCCTGACACAAAGCACAGCAGGACAGCTGCTCCTCCTCACAGACACCACTCCTCTTCCTCTTCCTCCCTCTGTGAACACATTTCTTTATCACTAAAATCATTGACTGTCAGTGACAAACATCCAGATTTGATGACACTGTGCAGAAGCTCTGATGGTCACAGAGAAAAGTCAAAGTGGAGAAACTTGTGTTTGAGTTCAGAATCCAAGTTTCCTTTGCTGTTCCTGCCTGTCTTATTAAACACAGAGTGATCAGCCTACAAACTCCACAGTAAAAGCCTTCATCACAGAGCTGATTATGTCCTTCACTGGATGTACTGGAAGTTTGGGATCCATCACTCTGAACTGACCTTTGACCTCCTCTAAAAACTGTGGTGGAGCAGCTGTGTCACGTTCAGAGCTTTCAGCTTTATTTTGAAAGAGTTCAGTCATCAGGAAGTGAACTTCTGGGTTCTGATTTCCTTTCTATTGTTTTACAGAAGTGAAGAAGAAGAACTAAAAGCTTTGAAATGATCTGAGTGATATTTTTGAACATTGCCACCAAATTGAGTTCAGCCTCCAGCAGTAACTTTGTTTCATGATGCCTCCCTGATGATGTGATGTTTGATTACAAACCTGTTTATGTGTTAGACATTAATCACATGAACACAGGCAGAAAAAAGAAGCCAATGAAACAAATGACAGAAACGTGTTCATTCACTGCCATGATCCATATTTTATATGTACAGATGTTTGTAAAGAACACGTGTGCAGCGCTTTGTTCTGAGTATCTGCTGTCAGCACACAGTGCAGCAATAACTACAACCACACGTTTCTGTAGATCCTGAACATCAGCCTGGAGGAATCTGACCTCAGGTCTGCACACAGAGGAGCTTCACCTCTGGGATGATGCTGGCTTCAGCTCCTTCTACAATCAGGCAGAAGCTTCTGCACCATCAGGACACAAACAGAGAGGAGCTTCTATCCTCAGACCATCCAAGTCCTAAATCAGAACATGCTCCCCTCATAGCATCACCATCAGGGTTTAAACAGGACCTTACATCATGTTCTTGTCTCACTGTCATATTTCAGATCATACCTGATTCATTATGACGTCACACGCTGCTACACTGATCCTGCTGCTTCATTACTGCTGATATTACTCTGCTCACTCTGTTCAGTTACTCTGTTCACATCACTTTGCTCATTTGCTTTGTTCTGCTTGCACTGCTCTGTCAGTACATGCTGTGCTAATGTGGCACAAAGCACTTTAACATTACATCTGCACAATGTTTCATTATTTCATTTAATGATTGTTTCTAATGTTTTGTCCAGTCACAGGAGCAGCTCAGCACATTTCACTGTGTTGTACGTGTATGACGATGCCTGTGACAAATAAACAGCCTCGGACTCTTCAATCTTCTGCATTTCTTTGGAGATCAGCTCAGTGGCCTGTTGAGACCATCTTTCTATTTCTGATGACTCAGTTCAGATTATTATCCTGATACTTTCTTTTAAAATGTGATGAAATCATTTATCTGATGTTCTGACACAAATACACCAAAACGATCCCAAACAGCACAAACCACCACGTTACACACAGTGTAATAAAAATACAGGCAACTACAAATAAAAACACTTTAAAATATAAACTAAAATTACAAAGTGGTCACAGAATTTCAAACACCCGTAAATGAGTCAGCAGCTCTCTTACATGGTCAGCTGAGCTCCATGATTGAAGAACATTGTTGCTGCAGGTTCATCACTGAATTGTAGAGGTCTGTCTCTGGACCGGTCACTCCTCACAGACACACAGCTGGATACTGGAGACTGTGACCTCTGACCTCTGCAAATACAAACACATGAATTACTGATTAATCTGTTTAAAATCTTTTAAGCAGCTGCAAACACACAAACTGGATGATGTGATGGTTTCTGTCAGTAATAGTTGTCTCAGATTAGAGTACAGACGGCTGCAGAGACGTTCACAGCAACAGAGCAGAAATCATTACCTTGGATTGCATTACTACTACGATTGATACTAGCATTATCGTACCCGGACCACCATTAGGAATCATTTATGATGTCACTGGTAGAACACATTTATAGAAACAACCTTTGAACTCTGAGTCAGCAGCTCTCTTACATGGTCAGCTGAGCTCCATGATTGAAGAACATTGTTGCTGCAGGTTCATCACTGAATTGTAGAGGTCTTTCTCTGGACCGGTCACTCCTCAAAGACACACAGCTGGATACTGGAGACTGTGACCTCTGACCTCTGCAAACACAACCACATTGCATTCATTTCACATCAATTAGTACACCACAAAAGGCATGCAAGAAACACAGTATGAAGGCAAACTTCTGGCTTCAATAACATTCAACAGGTCAGGTGGAAACTTTTCTCAGATTTGATTCATGTTTTTATAGAACGATCCAGCTAAAAAAAAAATATACCATTAGGTCAGGGGTCAGCAACCTTCAGGACCCAAAGAGCCATTTGGAGCCAGTTTCCACGCAAAAGAAAACACTGGGAGCCACAAATACTTTTTGACATCTAGAATGAAGATAACACTGTATATACTGTTTTTTACCTTTATGCTTTGTGTGAACAACTAAGGTGTGTTGCTTATGAAATCCATGAAGTGCTACAAAGAAAATTACAGGTTATTTATGTAATGAACACATTTGAACTCTTAAAGAAATATAACCAAAGGAAAGACACCCAGCTGAACTAAAATGATGTAGCAAACAAAAGCTGCTGTGAGCCGCCACCCTTATATCTCCTTTGGGCTTTTGGAGCCTTGACCTGACTTTTAAAAAAATAATTGGAAAAAAAGCTCTATGCTGCTGAAAGATGAAAAATAGATATTTGCAAAATTCTGCCTAAATATGTATTTTACCTGGTTAATGTGTGTGGCGGGGCGTGGTCTGCAGCGCCGCTGCAGGGGAGGCGGACGCACCTGAGCGGCACCCGCAATCACGCCTCGCCGCCTTAACGTCTGTGCTGTTGTGTTGGTGTGTCGGGCTGTGAGCTGCAAAGCTACAGCCGGCTGTGTGCGTACAGCAACCGTGTGTGAAAAGTGGTCAATAAAGAGAAGCTGAAAAGCGTGTTCATGCAAACATCGTCGGGTCTGCCGTGACATGTTTACAACGGGACTTCTGCTCCTGAACCTCTGCGCACAGCGTCTGCAGGTCGGGGCTGTACGAAGTCACTTTCATCTTTACAGGACTGTAAGCTGTCGTCTGTGAGGCGCGAGCGGTGTTTGTTTTTAACATAGTTCACGGTGGAGCTGCTGACATAATGTGGATCCAAAGATCCATAATTGGCCTTCCTGGGGCTGAAAGTCTCGATAAATGCACGGCGTTTCGGCGGGTACACCGGCTTCCACGAGTGTGATGCTTATTTTGAGCGATGAAAAAATAAAAAATATAATTTTATTTTTAGATTTCAATATCACAATAATCTTCCAATTTAGAACTACAAGTTAAAAAAGAACATAAATAAAATACACTTCAGCTAAATACTTCTAATTTATTTTCCCAAACCACGAGGAGCCGCACTGTAAGGACTAAAGAGCCGCAGGTTGCCGACCCCTGCATTAGTGTTAGTCAATGTTGCAACTGAACTGAAAAACAAAAGATTTTGGTCCAAAGAAACAAAGTCACTATTAATACAACACAACCCCCCCAAAAAGAGCCATGTAGACCCCGGGCTCTATGGGTCTTGTGCTCGGAGCTTGTTCCTGTGCTGCCATGATTAGTGCCTCTGTGCTGTCTTTCAGTCCAGCTTTGTTCAGCCACTGGTAGGATTTCTGGATGTCAGCCACTTCCTCTGCCTGCTGGTGGTGCAAACTGTGCTGTTCTGAGTTTCATTGGACGTCTTTGTCCAAAGCACCAGACGAAGGGCAAAGTAGATGCATTTGCATCAGCAGGAAAATACACCCCAAACTAGCATCATCATTATACAACTTTAACAACAGACCAGTGTTAGGTTAAGTTATGATGTCACTGGCAGAACATTTATAGAAACAACTTTTGAACTCTGAGTCAGCAGCTCTCTTACATGGTCAGCTGAGCTCCATGATTGAAGTTCACTGTTGGTGCAGGTTCATGACTGAATTGTAGAGGTCTGTCTCTGGACCGGTCACTCCTCACAGACACACAGCTGGATACTGGAGACTGTGACCTCTGACCTCTGCAAACACAACCACATGAATTACTGATTAATCTGTTTAAAATCTTTTAAGCAGCTGCAAACACACAAACTGGATGATGTGATGGTTTCTGTCAGTAATAGTTGTCTCAGATTAGAGTACAGACGGCTGCAGAGACGTTCACAGCAACAGAGCAGAAATCATTACCTTGGATTGCATTACTACTACGATTGATACTAGCATTATCGTACCCGGACCACCATTAGGAATCATTTATGATGTCACTGGCAGAACATTTATAGAAACAACCTTTGAACTCTTGAGTCAGCAGCTCTCTTACATGGTCAGCTGAGCTCCATGATTGAAGAACATTGTTGGTGCAGGTTCATGACAGAATTGTGGAGGTCTGTCTCTGGACGAGTCACTCCTCACAGACACACAGCTGGATACTGGAGACTGTGACCTCTGACCTCTGCAAACACATCACATGAATTACTGATTAATCTGTTTAAAATCTTTTAAGCAGCTGCAAACACACAAACTGGATGATGTGATGGTTTCTGTCAGTAATAGTTGTCTCAGATTAGAGTACAGACGGCTGCAGAGACGTTCACAGCAACAGAGAAGAAATCATTACCTTGGATTGCATTACTACTACGATTGATACTAGCATTATCGTACCCGGACCACCATTAGGAATCATTTATGATGTCACTGGCAGAACATTTATAGAAACAACCTTTGAACTCTGAGTCAGCAGCTCTCTTACATGGTCAGCTGAGCTCCATGATTGAAGAACATTGTTGGTGCAGGTTCATGACTGAATTGTAGAGGTCTGTCTCTGGACCGGTCACTCCTCACAGACACACAGCTGGATACTGGAGACTGTGACCTCTGACCTCTGCAAATACAACCACATTGCATTCATTTCACATCAATTAGTACACCACAAAAGGCATGCAAGAAACACAGTATGAAGGCAAACTTCTGGCTTCAATAACATTCAACAGGTCAGGTGGAAACTTTTCTCAGATTTGATTCATGTTTTTATAGAACGATCCAGCTAAAAAAAATATACCATTAGGTCAGGGGTCAGCAACCTTCAGGACCCAAAGAGCCATTTGGAGCCAGTTTCCACACAAAAGAAAACACTGGGAGCCACAAATACTTTTTGACATCTAGAATGAAGATAACACTGTATATACTGTTTTTTACCTTTATGCTTTGTGTGAACAACTAAGGTGTGTTGCTTATGAAATCCATGAAGTGCTACAGAGAAAATTACAGGTTATTTATGTAATGAACACATTTGAACTCTTAAAGAAATATAACCAAAGGAAAGACACCCAGCTGAACTAAAATGATGTAGCAAACAAAAACTGCTGTGAGCCGCCACCCTTATATCTCCTTTGTGCTTTTGGAGCCTTGAGCTGACTTTTAAAAAATAATTGGAAAAAAAGCTCTATGCTGCTGAAAGATGAAAAATAGATATTTGCAAAATTCTGCCTAAATATGTATTTTACCTGGTTAATTTCGTTTCGGCGGGTACACCGGCTTCTGCGAGTGTGACGCTTATTTGAGCGATCAAAAAATAATAAAATATAATTTTATTTTTATATTTCAATATCACAAAAATCTTCCAATTTAGAACTACAAGTTAAAAAAGAACATAAATAAAATACACTTCAGCTAAATACTTCTAATTTATTTTCCCAAACCACGAGGAGCCGCACTGTAAGGACTAAAGAGCTGCAGGTTGCCAACCCCTGCATTAGTGTTAGTCAATGTTGCAACTGAACTGAAAAACAACATATTTTGGTCAGGTCCAAAGAAACAAAGTCACTATTAATACAACACAACCCCCCCAAAAAGAGCCATGTAGACCCCGGGCTCTATGGGTCTTGTGCTCGGAGCTTGTTCCTGTGCTGCCATGATTAGTGCCTCTGTGCTGTCTTTCAGTCCAGCTTTGTTCAGCCACTGGTAGGATTTCTGGATGTCAGCCACTTCCTCTGCCTGCTGGTGGTGCAAACTGTGTTGTTCTGAGTTTCATTGGACGTCTTTGTCCAAAGCACCAGACAAAGGGCAAAGTAGATGCATTTGCATCAGCAGGAAAATACACCCCAAACTAGCATCATCATTATACAACTTTAACAACTGCCACTAAATGATACTTCATACACAGACCAGTGTTAGGTTAAGTTATGATGTCACTGGTAGAACATTTATAGAAACAACTTTTGAACTCTGAGTCAGCAGCTCTCTTACATGGTCAGCTGAGCTCCATGATTGAAGTTCACTGTTGGTGCAGGTTCATGACTGAATTGTAGAGGTCTGTCTCTGGACCGGTCACTCCTCACAGACACACAGCTGGATGCTGGAGACTGTGACCTCTGACCTCTGCAAACACAAACACATCACATGAATTACTGATTAATCTGTTTAAAATCTTTTAAGCAGCTGCAAACACACAAACTGGATGATGTGATGGTTTCTGTCAGTAATAGTTGTCTCAGATTAGAGTACAGAGGGCTGCAGAGACGTTCACAGCAGCAGAGAAGAAATCATTACCTTGGATTGCATTACTACTACGATTGATACTAGCATTATCGTACCCGGACCACCATTAGGAATCATTTATGATGTCACTGGTAGAACACATTTATAGAAACAACCTTTGAACTCTGCAAACACAAACATCAATAAGTGATCAGTTCTCTCTGACAGCCATATGATCAGCTGATCACTCTGTGATATTGTGTCTGCCTCATAACGCCGACAGGTCAGCCAATCATCAGCCAGTTTTTCTGTCTCTGAATGAACTCAGTTTGTTCTCAGCTCTTCTCTCTGATTCTGCTGCACTGACTTCACTTAAACTTACAGAGTTCAGATCTTAGCAAGAAAACAAGTCAATAAAAATCAAACTCAGATCAAACAGTTTGAACCAATCACAGATCAATGATTCTGTCATGGTTATGTTGAAATGACTAATAAAGTTAGTAGTGTTCTTACATTATTGCTGCAGGTCCATGACTGTAAGGTGGAGGTGTTTGTGTAACCCCGTCACTCCTCACAGACACACAGCTGGATGCTGCTCCGTCCTCTTCCTCCATCTTCTTGATGTCAGGGTGGAGTTAGTCTGAGAGGTAAACACACACACTCAGAGGTGCTGTTGTACTGGAAGCATCACACTGACGGCTTCCTAATGTCGGAGCTTTGGCCCTAAAGTCCAAACCAGTTATTTTAGAGGCTCAAAGTCTTTAAAAAACACCAAAACCATCACATTATTTAATAAGTACATGATCAGGTGGATGAAGGAACTCAGTGTGTTTGGGATCATCATCATGGTGAGGAGCCCACATGTTACGGCTCCTTTGGAGAGAAGCTGAGGATCACTGCAGGAAGTGAGCTCATGAAAGCAAACTGCTGTTTGTGAGCAGGATGACTCTGTTATTGGACCTGCTCTGTGTTCTACATATGATCAATACTTCAAATATCTGTAAACATGTCATCTTATATTTGTTGCACTTGGTCACATCTGTCTTTAAAAATAGATTTTAATGTCACTGAGAGTTCTTTTCTACTTTTATTGATTTATTTTGGAATAAATTAAATATAAAGGTGCCAAAAACTGCCTGCAGCTTCAGCTCTGTGACAGGAAACTACTGTCAGGTTCAAAATGACTTCAGATTATTCATCACAGAGTGTTTATAGATCACAGGACACGTTACAGTTTCACTGTCGATGTTTTAGTTAAAAAAAATGCTGCGATAAGGTCTTACTGTGAATCTGCGCGCTCATTGGCTAATACCCTGAGACTGACAGGTGGTTATCCAATCAGCGTGCGGCCTCACAGGCATAAAACTCTTAAAGTTTGTTTCTGAAGGGATTTTCAGATCAGACCTGATGTTTCTGCCTACAGCCTGTTTACCGATATAATCAATATCAGAGCAACAGAAACCTCGGTGATCAGGACGCCGGGACTGAGAACAGGAAGTGGCTCAAACGTCGCACTTTCATAAAGTCAGGCTGAACTCCACTCACCGAGTTTCTGTCGCCATTTTAGTTTTAAAAGACGTCGTGATAAGGGCGGGTCTTACTGTGAAGCTGCGCGCTCATTGGCTAATAACTTGAGATTGACAAGCTGTTATCCAATGAGCGCGCGGCTTCTCCCAACATAAAGTAGTTTCCTTTGAAAAACCAAAGTCTGATTATTTTTGCCTCCACTGACGGAGCCTGTTGTTCCCGCCACAGAGACACAGTAATGTCAGAGCGGTGTTAACACTCAGCTGCCTCAGCACAGCTCTCACTCTCCTCCTGCTCTCTCAGCTAAACTCACTTCCTCTCTACTTACAGGAAACCAGCGCTCAGAGGAGCCGACCGGCCTCACGTTTCACCCACAGACACGAACAGCGTGGAATTATTTTATGTCATAAGAAGAAACATATTCATGCCTCAGCTCCACCTTCCTCCTCCTGCTGCTCTGAACGGAGGATCAACACTTTCACTGCTCCTCCCTAAACACAGAGGATGCTGGGACTTGTAGTTTTTAAACTTCGTTCATCCGTCTTTAGTCCATCCAGGACACGCACTGCATTTTGGGACAGTTACTAACCCCACATCTGGGGCTACTGGGTGACACCAAATGACTCCTTCAAATTACAAACATATATATTGTTTATTAATAAGCAAATATTATGCAAAAAAACTACAAGAGAGGAACAGGCAGACCAGAAAATGACAGACATGAAACATAACTGAGACAAGGACACAGGAAAAGCGTCGTAACAAAACTAAAAACATGGTAAAATGGTAAATGGCCTGTATTTATATAGCGCTTTACTAGTCCCTAAGGACCCCAAAGCGCTTTACATATCCAGTCATCCACCCATTCACACACTGGTGATGGCAAGCTACATTGTAGCCACAGCCACCCTGGGGCGCACTGACAGAGGCGAGGCTGCCGGACACTGGCGCCACCGGGCCCTCTGACCACCACCAGTAGGCAACGGGTGAAGTGTCTCGCCCAAGGACACAACGACCGAGACTGTCCAAGCCGGGGCTCGAACCGGCAACCTTCCGATTACAAGACGAACTCCCAACTCTTGAGCTACGATCGCCCAACTACACATCAGGAAACCTTAACATGAGTCATGGAGCAAGGAATACTAAAACTAAATAAACACAAAATAAAAACTATAGACACATATCATAACCAAAGCCACTGGGTCACCAGACCCAGGAAAACTAACACCAAAAAGCTGCCTGGTACAAAGAAAAGTCACTGCTTTATTGAGAGAGGAAGAGAAGGATGTTCAGGTTGTGTTTATGCATCCATCCAGCCCTGCTGCAGGTTTCATCTGGCCAACAAAGGAAGAGAACTGCTCAGAGTGCTCAGAGTTATTGATGGACACAGAGAGTCACTGAAAATGTCTGAACTAAATACTCTTATATGGAGAAAATTTTAAGCTTTAATCTTTAATAGTTTTGAGATATTCATGTTCAAACATTCCCCAGATTTCAGTGTGCAAAAAAATGGCCTGAAAGTGGCTCAGTAGACTATTTTATCTTCCAGAGTATTTAAAATATGAAGGTTCACAGCAATCATCATATATGTTCAAACTTTGTATTATAACATTTCTGGAGAAATCAGAGATAGAAAATAAAAGTTCTTGTTTGAGATGGGATGACTTTTGTTTTGTTCTTTCACACTAAATAGTTGAACGACTGAACACTTTCACTTTCACTACCGTTCCCCATTTACAAGAAATCAGCTGACATTTGGTGTGTGTGTGTGTGTGTGTGTGTGTGTGTGTGTGTGTGTGTGTGTGTGTGTGTGTTGTAAACCACCAGAAGTAGTGTATAGTGCTTCATCACACACATGCAGGTGCAAAGTTGACATAGTTGATGTGTCATAGTTGGCACATCTGTTAGTCGACTAATCACATAATCAAATATTAAAAATGACTTAATTAATAAAATCATTTCGAGTCCCTGCCTGATCATCTTCAACAAAGAGACATTTTCTCTTTTTTGTGTCGTTGTATGTCGCATTTGGACACTAGGGGGCGATAACATTTAAACAAGGCCAACAGTGTGTAGCAGTGTCCTGTACCCGGTTGTTCAGTGATGACGCGACGAATCCTACTTCCGGGTCTAAAGTAGTCTGCGTTTAATATGGCTTTTGTGTTGTTAACATGTTTAATGTTATGTATTTTCTTCTATTTGATCTCAAAAAGCTCCTAAAACAGTCAGTGATCACTGTTGACCTCCCTCAGCTTTTATTACCGCTAATCATTTATTTAAGCTCAGTTTTTAAAACCTTAGGATGTAACTACAGCCCAGCCCATGCAGCAGTATATGAATGACTAACCTCGTATTGTGGATGGATTATCTCAGTTGTTCTCCTGGCTGAAGTTTGGTCCTTTTACAGCATCCTGCCATGCGATTACATTTGTTCCTGACCACCGAGAACACTCACGTTATCTTTTATCGAGTGGAAAAAAAGTTAGCTTGTTTATATTATGCTAACATAGCTGTGTTGCTAACGGTCACGTAGCACATCATTATATACCAGCTAGCCCAACTTCAGTAACCCTACAAACGCCACTGCTGTTTAGTTTTCTGTCTTCATTTATGCTGGAAGTGATAACAGAGCTGTACGTTTTCATTTGTTTCCAAAACCCCGCAGTCAGGACATGCTATATTGTATTTAGATAGAAGCTAGCGAGCTAACTTCCTGCTAACTTCTAACTCCGTTAAATGTCATAAATTCCGTTTTCATGGATGCCTGGATGTTAAACTCAATTGTTACACCTGGTAGAGCAGAACGCTGATCATTTTATTAAAGATGAAAGACTTTAGACAGTTTTTCAACTCTCAGTAATGCCATAGTGATCGTTTGATATATGGACCTGCAGCGGAGTTTAGGCCCAGACACGGCTAGTGACGTCAGACTGAACAACCGGACAGGCCTCGAGGGCCAGTGTCCTGCAGGCTTTAGATGTGACCTTGATCCAACACAGCTGATTTAAATCGCTAAATTCACCTCCTACATCGTTCCCTCGCTCACCTGGAGACCGCTGGAAGCACTGTGAGAATCATGTTCTTTGATTTCTCCAGTGCCTTCAACACCATTCTTCCCTCGGTTCTAAAGGACAAGCTGGTGAACTCTGGAGTGGACCATCACCTCACTACCTGGATCCTGGACTACCTCACCGACCGACCACAGTATGTGAGGACTCAGGGCTGTGTGTCGGACAGGGTCGTCTGCAGTACGGGGGCCCCACAGGGAACGGTTCTGGCTCCGTTCCTCTTCACCATCTACACTGCAGACTTCTCCCACAATTCCACCCAGTGCTTCCTGCAGAAGTTCTCTGATGACTCTGCAATAGTCGGCCTCATCACTGATGGGGACGACAAGGAGTACAGAGGTCTGACCCAAGACTTTGTGGACTGGTGCCAGCTGAACTACCTCCAGATCAACGCCAGTAAAACCAAGGAACTGGTGGTAGACTTCCGCAGGCACAAGCATTCTCCACTGCAACCACTGAACATCCAAGGTATGGACATTGAGGCTGTGGACAGCTACAGGTACCTTGGTGTTCATCTGAACAACAGACTGGACTGGACTCATAACTCAGACGCCCTCTACAGGAAAGGGCAGAGCAGGCTGTACCTGCTGCGGAGACTCAGGTCGTTTGAGTGGAGGGCCCACTCCTGAAGAAATTCTATGACTCTGTTGTGGCTTCTGCTATCTTTTATGGCGTGGTCTGCTGGGGCGGCAGCATCTCTGCTGGGGACAGGAAGAGATGGAACAGGGTGATCCGAAGGGCCAGCTCTGTTCTAGGATGCCCTCTGGACCCAGTGGAGGTGGTGAGTGACAGGAGAACGGCGGCTAAGCTGTCATCCCTGATGGACAACATCTCCCACCCCATGCAGCAGACTGTGACAGCACTGAGCAGCTCCTTCAGTGGGAGACTGCGGCACCCACGGTGTGGGACGGAGAGATTTCGCAGGTCTTTCCTCCCCACTGCTGTCAGACTCCATAATAAAGACTTTAACTGATCAAACACACACATCCATACATATGCAATAATACTAAGTGCAATAATCCTTTCTGTCATCGTTGTATTTTTACTCAGTTGTATATAGTATTTGTATTTGTATTCTATTTTTATCTTATTGTATATTTATTTTATTTTATTCTACTGTATATAGTATTTTATTTTATTCTATTCTGTACAGTTGTGTACTGTATTTATTCTTATTGTATTCTAATTTTTGCCTCATAACTTTTGCACTGTCCACTTCCTGCTGTGACAAAACAAATTTCCCACGTGTGGGACTAATAAAGGTTATCTTATCTTATCTTATCTTAAATGACCTTCTCGACATATCTTGTAGTTCTCCAGAAGCCTGGTAATGAACTAATCATTTGATTCAGGGGTGCTGACCCAGGGTGTTATCTAAAAACTGCAGGACTCTGGCCCTTGAGGCCTGGAGTTCTCCACCCCTGCTCTACAGGTTTGTCAGCACTGACCCAGTTGGCTGTCTCTGTGTAAGTGAAACTGAAACTCAATGTTTGTACTAAAGGCCCAGTAGTTCTGGTTTTATTCTCTTCAGTTGTTAGTTTCTCCGGTAGTTTTTTAGAGTTGCCAGTAGAGGATACCTCACCGCTTTGTATGCAAGAGACAATGGGCAGGGAGGAACGTGGGCATGGCACCTGAGCTTTTCTGCTTAGTTTATTTCCAACCTGTGTTTATGTTGATGTACTCTTGAGTTGTTGATGTGAACATCTTAGTAATTGAGGATTTTCTTTCTGTTCCTTTCAGAGACCACACCCACATACCTAAACCTGTACACTATGCTAACTAGAAGTTTTTCATTATTAAGTGGACTGAATATTTAAAAGAACACAAAGCAAACAAGAGAAGAGAAAACCAAAGAGGAGCTGATTCCCTGTTTGATTCAGCTGGCTGTGTCAAACTAGTATTAAAATGTAACTGTGATTCCTCTGCTGATGAAATAACATTGATGATTTTTGTCAGGAAGCACTCACAGAAGGTTATTAGCTTACAAACAGAGCTTCTCCCCCACAGTTATTTCATAAAGAACAATGAGCACATGCAGTATAAAAACAGGCGAACTCCATCTGAAGTCATTTTCTGGTCCCACTTTCAGGCCTCTTTTTGACATTAAACCCTGAGACGATGCTTGAACATGAATATCTTAAAAAAATAAAAGCCTGAAATTTTCACAGGTCTTTTTTACCATCAAATGAATTTGTAATTTGGAAAAGCTGCATCTAAAAATGTCTGAGTAATGGCAACAACAAAAAAATAGTTGCTGTCCTGAAAAGTCGCATATTTGAGCACACACTAATAAAAAACTTTGCAAAACAAATCGTGACAATTGCTGAATGATTTATAATATATAAAATAAAACAGAAAAATGTTATTTCAGTTTTCATGCTGGATTGAACAAATGACAGTTTTGACATATTTTGTCAAATATGTGCACAGGTATCATTTTTGAGACCTACTATACCTAATGTTTTGAAAACTATTGGCCAATGTGATAATTCAGGTGAAGTGTAAAATCTCTGATGCATCCATTGGAGTTTAGAGGTTTAGAAGCACCGAGAGCTCAAAAAAGTCTGTAGCATCATAGAAGAAGACTTTAGGGAAGTGAAGCAGTTTCAAACATATGATGGATTTTCTCTGATGCTCCGTTTCAGCTTTTTTTTCTGTTTTCTAAATGTGAATCTTAAATTGTTCAGAGTCAGCAGGTGAAGTCAGGTTTCTCTAATCCTAATGTGGATCATGTCACCTGGTTTCTAGGTTTCATGACAGGTCAGAGGTCAGCGACTGTAACTCAGTTAGTTCTGTTAATGTGAACTCACTGAGTGTTTGTGCTTCACCTCTCAGACTGACTGAGGGTGATGATGGAGGACAGAGCAGAGTCTGCAGCATCCAGCTGTGCGCCTATGAGGAGTGAGCTGTCCAAAGGAAAAAATCTAGACTTCAGTAATGAACCTGGACCCACAGGCACAAAGGAACAGTTTCTGCTGTAAGACTGACGATGATGATGATCTGGTTTACTATGGAGCAGATTCATTGGCTAATACCCTGAGACTGACAGGTGGTTATCCAATCAGCGTGCGGCCTCACGGACATAAAACTCTTAAAGTTTGTTTCTGAAGGGATTTTCAGATCAGACCTGATGTTTCTGCCTACAGCCTGTTTACCGATATAATCAATATCAGATATCAGAGCAACAGAAACCTCGGTGATCAGGACGCCGGGACTGAGAACAGGAAGTGGCTCAAACGTCGCACTTTCATAAAGTCAGCCTGAACTCCACTCACCGAGTTTCTGTCGCCATTTTAGTTTTAAAAGACGTCGTGATAAGGGCGGGTCTTACTGTGAAGCTGCGCGCTCATTGGCTAATAACTTGAGATTGACAAGCTGTTATCCAATGAGCGCGCGGCTTCTCCCAACATAAAGTAGTTTCCTTTGAAAAACCAAAGTCTGATTATTTTTGCCTCCACTGACGGAGCCTGTTGTTCCCGCCACAGAGACACAGTAATGTCAGAGCGGTGTTAACACTCACCTGCCTCAGCACAGCTCTCACTCTCCTCCTGCTCTCTCAGCTAAACTCACTTCCTCTCTACTTACAGGAAACCAGCGCTCAGAGGAGCCGACCGGCCTCACGTTTCATCCACAGACACGAACAGTGTGGAATTATTTTATGTCATAAGAAGAAACATATTCATGTTAACACTCACCTGCCTCAGCTCCACCTTCCTCCTCCTGCTGCTCGGAGGATCAACACTTTCACTTTCACTGCTCCTCCCTGAACACAGAGGATGCTGGGACTTGTAGTTTTTAAACTTCGTTCAGCCGTCTTTAGTGCATCCAGGACACGCACTGCATTTTGGGACAGTTACTGACCCCACATCTGGGGCTCTTCTCACCTCTTTCCGGGGGTAAGGTGCCCTTGTACCTCGGGCCTCTGGGACTGGGGTTTGGTCTGCTCTGGTGCGACTGGCTGCCGGCAGGGCCTGCGGGCTTGTCGTCGCAGCCCCCTGCGCCCTCTGTACCTTGGCTACTGGGTGACACCAAATGACTCCTTCAAATTACAAACATATATATTGTTTATTAATAAGCAAATATTATGCAAAAAACTACAAGAGAGGAATAGGCAGACCAGAAAATAACAGACATGAAACATAACTGAGACAAGGAGACAAGGACACAGGGAAGGCGTTGTAACAAAAATTTTAACACTTTTGCTTGTCTTCATTTTTCTGACTTCAGTTGGCTTCAGTCTGACTTTAACTGACTGAAAACTTTATTTGAACAAAGTTAACTGACTTGCATTCTCTGTATGTTGATAAATGTATGAAAACATATAACATTTAATCAGCGTCAGTTTTTAATTTGGATAGAGGATCATCCAGTGTCATAACAGACAGCCAGTTGGATCTTGACTTTTTTGATCAATAACCCTCATTTTAGAAATTCCAAATGACTGTCTTACTGGGTCCCACCTCAGCAGCGATGGCGCGCTGTGAGAGACCCTGCTTATGCAGTTCAACAACCCGACCGCGTTCAAGAAAGGAAAGTTGTTTTGCCTTTGCCATCAGAACGTAATGACAGTGTGACTACCTGACAGTAAATGACAATGAATCCACATTTTTGCACAGATTTGGCCTTGTAAAGGCATGTGGTCCTAAACTTTTGAACAGCTGTAAAACAGCCTGTTTCAGTTTAAGCGTTGTTTTCAATAAATTGACCAGCTCATAAAAAAAGTTTAGTCTCACTCCATTTCTTCTTGTTGCATGTTGAAGCTCTACTTGGAACCTTGTTAAGATCCAACTATGCAAAATATGATGTTTTGTTTTTACAATTTTTCAAGTTGTCTTAAATTTTTTGATTGGAACTGTATAAATATTTGCTTTCAGTTATTCACAGTGAGATAATGTCAAAATAAATGGAATAAGTGAAATATTACTTGTTTGCTCCACATATTTCTGTTGAATGGTGTTCTAAAACATCCGTTCTTCAGTATTTTTAACTTGCATGTATTTAAATTTATATTTCAATAATGCTGACATATCTCCTTTTTCAGTGTAATGGTTTAAGCTCAGAAACATCTGCAGTATCTATACATGAAGTTTATGTGAGTAATTGTCAAATCCAGAAATATGGATATTTATTTCAGAACTTTATTGCATAACTTACATATTTTCACACACACACACACACACACACACACACACACACACACACACACACACACACACACACACACACACACACACACACACAGAGATCTCTTTATTAAGTAGTGGGCTCATGTGTTCAGCATCACGTTGTTGAGTGCACAGTGCTGTAGCTCCAAGTTCATTGCTCTAAACATGTGAAGACCACAAAACCCAAAGAGTCACTTTTAGCATTATGACTCATTCTATATGAATCTTGCCAGCCATACATATGAACCGTTTGAAACCTGTGTGAATGCTTTATGCTACAGTGATACACTGAATATGCCACTAAAGCTTCTCTTCTTTCTGAAACTACTTGAAATGTGTCTTTATCACAAACAGTAAAAAGTTACGGTCATATAAAGAGCATTCATGAAACTGTCAGGCCGGTGGTAAAGAAAAGCTTGATACAAGTAAAGCACAGTTTGGTCTTACCGGCTGACACATAAAGTGTGGCACTGTTTTTCATTTTATTTTTCTTTACCTTTTATTATTACACTCACTGACATGAAAATGAGCAAATGAGTATGTTTTATGTTTGTATGTGAGTCTGCTCAGCGTTTCACTGTAAGAGTGTTTTAATACAAAGGAACAGGCAGTCATGTACATGCTCTTCCTTTACAGAAATACCCTCACCAGCATGTACCTCTGTGAGTGATGCTACTTTAAGGTCTATATAACTCTTTTCAGTACATCATCTGTACTGTCAGCAGCAGTTACACTGTTACTCTGACACCTGGACAAATATGGATGCACTGAAGTTGTACTTAATTCTTCTTCTACCACTAACTGCAAGCTCAGAAGATTAAGGGGGAGGTAATGTAAAAATCTGATTCATAAAGTAACATTGATTTTTTAATGATACTCCAGCCTCTGTTTTTTTTTGTTGTGAAAACAATTGGGAAACAACCAGATGTCACTCAAATATGCACCAATGAAACACAGAGAATCATCACACTGATAGTTTGTAAGATCAGAACTCAGAGAAGTGGAGGCGAAAATTGTAGACTGCTGTATTATTATGGACGGTGTGATTTGCACTTCAGGGCCACCGTACAAATGTGACTCCAGGTTCACACTGATGAAGGAAAATCAGACTGAGTTTCTCCACCTGATCAATTTAACATCAGAGGACAGTGGGAGCTACACCTGTCAGTGTTCAACTCCTGAAAAAACTAATATTCTCCATCTTACAGTTTTTTACAGACACTAGGACACATTTCTCAATACTTAGGTCACTTTTGCAAAACTCCTCACACAGTGAGCACAACAGAAGTCTATGTGGGCTAAACTGAGGATCATTTATCATTGTTTTGGCACAAAATGCATTCAATGACTACATCTCTCAAATTTCATGAATTATTTTCTAACTCAGACGCAACAACTGCCAAAAATCTTTGTACGGACAGGACATTTTGCATGTGCTTACATACTGTTTTCAAAACTGTTAACCTTATGGTCAAAACAATAACATAATGCAAAACTGAATAAGACAGCAAAATTCAACGGCAATATTTTATTGAAACATATTTTAAATCTAAAAATGCAGTTTAACCAGCCACAGCTGATTCTCATTGTAGATGAACATCTACACAGGTGTTACTTCTTCAATTTCATTACAAAAGGAGACAACTGCTGAATAGGTTTGTTTTGTGATGTAAACATGGACCCAGCCAGAAATGGAGAAGTGGCTGAAAGAGGAAGAAGAGTGGCTGGGAGGGGGCGAGGAATACGTATGCGTGGTGGAAGAAGAATAAGAGGAAGATCAGAGCTACTGTAATTGATCATGTAGTAAATCATGGTCACTGTTGTGTCTTCACTGCTTATGAAGAAATCGCCTCGGAGCCGTCATACTGGTTCTTTATTATTCCGTAGATATAGGAAACGTATCCACACACTGTAAACTGCTAAGCTAGCACATGAACACACAACTAGCTACTTCCGGCGATTTTCACAATAAAAGTTCGAACATTACAGTCACTCAATGAGAGAGGCTGGTCAGTAGTGATGGCCAAATGAAGTTTTCTGAAGCACTGAAGCTTGTATTGAAAAACGGTTCATTACTCGAAGCTTTTCAACACAGTCCTCTCTGGTGACATCTGGTGGCCAGAAATATGAAGCGCAGCTTGAATCCACAAAATAAAACCAACTGCTTCATTATGATTGCTCACTCTACAGAGTGGAATCCTGTCTGATATTGGGCCGCTGTTGTGTTGCTTTGAACGTGTATTTTTTGGTGGTTAAGAAAATGTGTTTTATTTGTTTAATAAATAGTTTTGACCAGTAAACTCTCCTTGCTTAAACATGCGCCATGGTGTGGTCTTTCTTTGCTTGTGACTTCTTGATGTTGGTAAATACAATAACTGAAAAATACCACGTTACATATATATACATATAATAATGTACAGCACATTATGGAGTAGGCTTCTGCTGTGAGGTCTTGCCTCCATGCAGGTATGCAATTAATCGCCGGAGGGTATATTTATAAATAATATTATATTAAGGAAATTTTCCCAGACATATTTTTGACCTGGGGGTAGAATTGATTGTGAAATGGAAAAGGAAAATGCTTATGAACTTGCAAATTAAAAACATGATGCATTGACGGTAACCCTTTTTCATTTTTATTTAAAAAGAGAATTTGTTCTAGTGTGCGATGGCCGAACCTGTTCTTTTTCGTGGAGATAATTTATCGTGCCTTAAGGAAAATCCCTTCACATGGCACAGAGGAGGCTGGAGTGCAGAGAAACTGGTAGAGATGCAGTTATACAGTCTAACTGGGCCCCACAAACTATCAGCTAAAGAGAATAAAGAAATTCAATTGCTGTACATTTGGCAGACTAACATTTTCAGATTAATTAAACAATAAAATATATATTTTTACAACATTACAAGTAAAGAGTCAAGTGGAAGTTTTTCTAAAGTTATTTAATGATATTTATATTATGGAAGCAGATTTTTGACATTTTACCTTTTTCCCGTTTTCAGATATAATAAACACGCACAAAACAAAAGCAAACAGCCAGAACACAAAGCTGGAAAACTCACCCGATTGACAAAAATCAACTCAAAATTCTCCCACACAACAGAACCTCCTCTATTCCTCGCTGGCTCCAAATCTCTCAGTGGAATGATCAGTGGTTCGCTATCTGTCACCATCAAAACACTCCACAAATCCCGCAAATGATTCGCTTCCTTATAAACCATTGAATCAGATACCGAAGCAGTTAGGTTGGTTCTAAATGAAGCTTCGGACGTCACCGATCACGTGACTCTGGCCAAACGAATCAAGCTTCGGCACAGTGCTTCTGAAGCAGTGTGTTGATTTTTTTGACACACGCACCGGAGCTTCAGCTTCAAGCGGACCATCACTAACTGGTCAGAGAGTGTAGCCAAATCTGCAACGCTCTACAGTGGCATCTATTGTTAGAGTTTTCCGGCAAACCAACAGGTAACTTGTATTCCGCAGGGCATTTGCACATTTCAGAAGTAAATAAGCTTTTGTGTAATTGTTGTTGCATTTCTGCTTAGGACTCAACGGTTACCTCACACAGGAGGGAGAGGACGGATGTTCACTGATGTGCAGGAAACTGCCATTGTTGATATGGTCACCAGAAACAATGGGATAAAACTCACTGAAATTAGACACAGTCTTGGCAGACAACGTTACTTTGGCAAATATTCACAGTGTAAGCATAACAACAATTTCTAGAGTCCTGAAAAAACATCAGGTCAGGATGAAGCAGTTGTACACTGTGCCTTTTGAGATGAACTCTGAACATGTCAAGCAACTCAGGAACCAGTATGTCCAGGTAAGATCACAATAAAATACAGATCTGTTTTTGAACAAAACCAAACACACACAAAGACATTTTTTACAAATTTACTACTGTAACATCTTATGTTGCACTGTGGATTTATGTTAGAGAGTCATGGAGATCGAAGGCAGGCAAACACACCACATTTTCATCTTTGTGGATGAGGCAGGTTTCAACTTGGCCAAAGCACGGCGACGAGGGAGGAATGTGATTGGGAAGAGAGCCACAGTGAATGTCCCGGGGCAGAGGGGTGCCAACATCACAATGTGCGCAGCAATATCCACTGATGGACTGCTGTTACACAGACCACTAATTGGGCCATACAACACTGAACGGCTCCTTGTGTTCCTGCATGATCTCTATGGAAGGGTTGTGCTAGGTGAGGAAAGGGATGCGGAGAGAAGGAATCAGCCAACATTTATAACTGTATGGGACAACGTGGCATTTCATCACTCCCGTGCAGTCACCGAGTGGTTTGCAGCCCATCCCAGAATGGAGTCTCTTTTCCTCCCACCTTACTCTCCATTCCTCAACCCCATAGAGGAATTCTTTTCCTCATGGTGGTGGAAGGTTTACAACTGAATGCTGGATGCCTGGAGATATCAGCAGAAGATTGCCAGGGATGGATCAGGCATGCCAGAAGATTATTTCCTAGGTGTATTGCCCTAGATTACATTAGATGTGATGTGGATGAGAACCTGTGGCCAAATGGAGAAGACCGAGTAGATTAGCATTACTATTGTATGTGTATCAGTGGATGGTGTGAATACAAATTCTTGTATTTTGGGATTAATTAGTGCAAAAAAATAAAAATATATTAACGAATTCTGCATGATGTCTGATTCATTCCAGTAACATATATTGAAATTATAAACAGCGATGTGTCCTTGTTTTACACAAGAAAACACTGTGTAATGCTACATGTTGTTAGTGTTTTTTAGGTCATTGTTTTATGGGTGACAAAGTGTGTTTATCAGCTGTCAACCTTTGCTAGTGTTCTGGAAGAATGAGTTTATTTGAGACCTGAATAAAGTGTTTTGGTAGTGTTGAAATCTCCCAATTCTTTGAATCTTTGGGCTGAAGGAGGGACAATACTTGGTGTATCAATGCTCAATCAACAATCATTTATTTCCATACAATTCAACAGTCAGAGCATTACAACGTCCGGACGGGAGAGATGCTACCAGAGGGTCAGGCACATGTCTCCAAATGGTGACGGGTTGCTCAGCTTTTTATAGTCTCTAGTGGCCCCCAGCTAGTCGTAAAAGCCAAAACATCACATTTTTTCTCTGTTACAGCGCCTAAGTTATGACCTCGGCAGTTGTTTCTCTGCTTTCTGTAAGGTGGGGGTGTGGAATGTAGTCTATCTATCTCCCCTGTCTTTAGACACAGAGTCTCCTGCTTACAACCTTCTCTTCATGATTCAACAATTAAGCATGTCAAGAAAACAGTGTAACACATTCCCAGCAGATCAAGGATACAGAGTGATGCACATTTATCTAATGAACTAATATGTGAATATGTTCTGTTAACTCAAAAGTATAATGAGAACTAAACTACATACAGCTCACACACTCTATATTAAAGGGTATAATGTGATCTACAGCAGTATTCTAATTCAACTACTTTGATTACATATATAAGGTAACATATAATAACAGAATAATCTAATAATTCCCCCTTTTGATCTCTTAAAAGAGATCACTTATAACCTACACTCCAGGGTCACAAGGTCCAGGTTTTCTTGATCCTGAGGCCCTCTGTCCCCCTTTAACGGGTGGACCATATGTGGGATGACCTCTGTGTTCACGCAGTTCAGATGCAAGCAAAGTTAGATTTACAACCATAACAGCAGTTACAGATGACTCTCCCATCACTCCCCAATTCTCCCACAGCTTTATTTTGGTGCTCCAGTTTTCCACTCCCATTTTAATGCCCCCTTATACCTTTCAAATGTACTTAGACTAGAACCTCTGTCTAAGGAGCTTTTAACCTTTATTTTTATTGCTGCAGCTACCAGTGTCTTCCAGTTGGGTGATTCTCAGCTTCTTTCTTCGACCTCCGGGGTTAGACCACCCTTTAGTCATTGCACAGTTCTGGGGATTATTCTGCCCCGATTTCAAACAAGGATCTGTGTGTTTTGGGTTCACCGGCGTGTCCCCCTTTTTGCCAAGAGCCTCTCGAACCTCGTTGGTCTGGTGTTCCTGGTTTTCGCCAACCCCTTCATGGTTATTGCTGTGTTTGTGGGATCCATCTTCTCCAGGAGCCCAAACGTCATGACACTTGACCCCAGTTGCTGTCTCGGCAGTCCCTACATCTGTCCCTGCTGTGAAGGGTCCTCACATCTCCGTGTCCCCGTCTGGTGTCTCTTCCTTTCTCTACAAGAGACAGAAAACCAAAACACCTCTCTCCCTAGCCTTGATAATCTAATATTGTTATCCATTGTTCTTTTAATGATTCAAATTTGGTTTAAAATATTATGTTCAGGACTTATTCTAATCATAATCTATGTGTGTGTAAAAGAAATCAAAAATTAGTGAACCCTTTCTAAGTCTAACACATTATAAGCTTAAGTTTTACCATAGCTAAATTATTAAACACAGAAATAACGTCATAAGATGTTCATAAAACCATTGTTTGATGTTCGGACTCAACTTCCCCCTTTTTGACACACTCCCATGTGTCAATTCATTGGAGCTAGACAATTAAAAGAGAAGGTTGGTGACATCATATCTCAGAAAGTATCAGAAATTCTTCTCTCGAGTACCGTTGCTCCAGCCTTGTCATCCCTGAGGATCTTTGATCCCGAAAATGTCCCTTCTCCTCATGTAATAAAGTCTGTCATCCTTCCATGCCCTGGTAACTGGTCCATCCAGAGCTGTAACATTTTGAAATGTACATACAACAAGCCAAACCACACCTTGGTCACACCAACCCTTTTCTGCCCTGAAGATGTCCAACACCATCTTAGTCTGGACCAGGGTTGTAATAGTTTTGCAATTTTCATCAGTTTTAATCAGTTTTTACCAATTCTTTGCTAGTTCAGTCTAGTTTTTATTTTCTGAAAATCCTTAGTTTCAATTTAGTTTTATTTGTGTTTTGCAAAAATTAAGTGTAACAAAATCCCAGTTCCATCATATCAGTCATGCTCTTCTGCTTATCCTTGGGTGTTGAGACTAATAACTATTAACTCTTGCCGCACCGTGTGGTCCTAATTTTGGTTGAAGTGAATTGATAACCTTTTGAAGGCGATTGTTTCACACCTTTATTTAGATGTCCCAGTCCTGTTGTCTCGGGATACATCACGCTGCCTTATCTGGGGTTCGCTGTTTTCTGGGGATGCGGGTTGAGTGGGTGAGCTCTTCAAGGAGGGGGAGTGTGCTCCCCCTGATGAGGTCTTCTAGGTAAGCTAGGTTAACCTTCTTGTGTGAGCTTTTCAAGTGCACTTTAAGGTTAGTGGGACTTTTAGTTTTATAAATGTCCCTCATGTCCCCCTAATGACCCAGTATTTCATTTTTGCGCACTGTAGTACACATTTTAGTTTTTGCTTGTAGCTCGCATACTCTACTTGCCACTCCTCTAAGTCCTGATGTTTCTTAGAGAGGGCAACAGTACCTTTAAAATTATATCACACGTGTGGGGGTGTGGCCTTGCCAATTGTTTTGCCCACCTTTTCAAAATGGCTGGCGTGCCCACAAGCACATTTCATGGAAAAAGAAAGGTAATCTTGATATTTACATTTAAAATGTTTTGTTAAACTCAGATTTTTATTTTATTCTTTTTGCAAGTACCCCTCCTCGGTGGCGAGAAACTGTTGGTGTGGTCAAGTGGGTGCTCTGGAAACAAACGCTCAGGACAGAACAGTTATCAGTCATGTACTTCCTACAAATTTTGCATATGTTTTATTCCATATTGATCCTCTGAGTGTAATGGTACATTTTAATTTGAATTTATCCAAACTAAACACAATATTTTCTTTATTTACTTTGCTCTTGTTCTTTTTCAGTACCACATCCTATCAAATGTCCCTGTCGATTATATTCTACATTTAATAACTTACTATTTCAAGTGAGAACCTAAATCATGTGGACCAATGTTTATTATTGCATATCTCTATTCTGAATGTGGCCAGTCATTCATAGGTATTGTTAAATTTTGGCGATTTTCCTCTATAAAATTTAATTGACTTTTTACAGTGGCCTGCTGTGGTTAATAGTAACATATTCCAGTCATGAGTGATATCAATAGTTATCTCCACTGTAGCATTTGGCATTCCCAATAATATAACATGATACCTTAATTAAAACACAGCTACAGTTTTCTTAATGCAAACATCAGTAACTCAAAATCAGCAACCACAGTGTTAAGTCTGCAGTTCATACTTATGTGAAGCTAGAGTCTCCTCCTCCAGTCTCTCTTATCCTCCTGCTCCTGAAAAAACAAAACAAAACAAAGCGAAGCATCCACCCTTCTCTTGTCGGCTGGGTGAATTGTTTATGAATTGTTTATTGGCATTTACTAATCCTAAAGTGGGTGCAGTCATTGTCTCAGTATCAAGTCAGTCAAAGCTTTTAGTCGTCAGTCCATCACAGTCCATTCACATGCATACCTCCACACACATTCATACCAGATGTTGCTGATAATGGAGTCTCACGCGCAACCTATTCGAGCATCCATCACCAGCAAGATGACGTCATCATTTTAAAGGAAAACAATTCCTTGTTGTTTTTTGGGCCGGATTGACTCGGTGCAATCCTTTTAGACTCAGAACTTCTCAGTGTTCCCTATAAGTGAATTTCTCCCAAGCCAATTACAATCATGGAGAAGCACACTTTGCAACTGTTTTTGTAAGAATATTTCATAGCGCTTTAAATTTCAATCTTTCAGGCCTGGTTTAAAGAGCTGATTGTTAAATCATAAACTCACAAAATATCAACATATCACCACCGGTGGATCACACCTCTCAGATTTTCTTATCTCAGTGCACTGTAACAAAACGAAAACAGACATAACCAACAAAACACTAACAACAATAACACAAACTAGGGCCCGTTGCAGACATGTCCAAGCATAAAACTATCCTCTCTCGCTTACGAGAAAGAACACAAGCCAAAGCTCACTGATAAAATCAAGCTAGCGCTAAACAAAACCAAACAATCAACCAGAAATTCACAGGAACATTTTGCTTCCTGCCGGGACAATATTGTGTGGGAATGAGAAGCTCAGGTGCCGTAACACCTTTTGTTCCTCCTTGAATTAAAACTCAATCACAGAAAATGCCGTACTCCGACCTAAAACTTACACTATTACTTCATCATTTTCACTCTGTGCCACTGTTCCTCATCAGGGCTGTGTGAAGCACAGCAAAGAATTCAGTCAAGGCCTTGAGCCATAAACAGACATCACGCACAGACATTGTTTTCATAACCAAACCGTTTTAGAGCTTATTCCTAAAATCTACATAAATGCCTTCTAGGTGACATATAACACATTCTAAGTAATCAATGGCTCCTCATAAAAATTACGCATTGGGATGTTTGTGTGCAGCATTTTGCATATCAGCATAAGCAAAGCATTCTTCATTGCATCAGCGTGTATGTGTGTGTGTGCGTGTGTGTGTATGTGGATCACTTCTCAGTGAATCAGCATTCCAATAAGATAAGATAAGATAAGATAACTCTTTATTGTCATTGCACAGTCATACATAGTACAGTAGTACAATGAAATTGGAAAAACTGTCCTACGTCGG